TATTAGAAACATTTATTAATTTATACATACAATTTTAACTGAAGCTCAATTATTTCTAAGGGATTTTAATACAGGTTGGTGCCAAAGCATTATTTTTAATTGATGAAATGCATTTAAATAGGTTTCCTTTATGAGTATATAAGTATATACATTTTATAATATTAATGAAATACCATTGAAAAATGAAAGATTTTTTAATTTATATAAAATTTCAACTGGAGCTCAGTTATTTGTGAAGAATCTTTAATACAGGGGTCAAGTTTAGTGCCAAGGCATGTATTTATTTGATGATATGCATTTAAAAGCTATTCGTAATAAATTATATGAAAAGATAGAATATAACTAAACATTAATTTACATAATATCATAAACTCAATGAAATTGTCAAGTAAATGTTCAAGTTCCAGTAATATATATGTGCATATCTGTATTTGATCACTGAATTACTGAATCACTTACATTTTACTTTAAATCAAATTCATATTGATGTAATAAATATGATATTTTAAAATATGCACATATCTATTTTCACATACATGTAACTATAACTATAACTATATCCCTTTCGATGTGATACTAGTCGATATGTTTTCAATCATTTCCAAAAATATTCAAGACCAAATCTATTTTTCTGTGAAACCTAACATATAAACATATAAATAATTCTTTGTATAACGAGAAAGTCCCTCAGAGTCTTTTTGACCATTCCTGAAATTCTATTTTTAAATGTTTAGATGAGTACTTTATGTAAGGATAGGTATAAATACTTAAATATAATGTGCAATTAAATATAAGAAATTATATAAAATGCTGTCTTAATTGAAAAAATGCATAATTGATTTTTCCTTAAAATAATTAAGTAATTAGTATCTTGCAAATTGTGATAATTAAACACAAAAACATTTTGTTTTCACACTAGATGTGTTTGGTTAGTCAGAAAACTTTAATTTTAGGACAGCATTTAATAAAACAAATTGTATTGTGACATGTGTTCCCTTTCTCGTATCTATTACTATCACAGGGTGAAATTTTCAATTTTTTTTAATTATTCCACAAATTTTCATAACATTAAACTATTGTATTGAATATAATTTAAAAAATGATGCATGTAATATCATGATGCAGGTTTTTATTTTGGAAAGATGAGTAAGTGATGAGATATTTGATTCTCGAACAGTTTATAAATTCGTTATTACTTATCCTAAGTATATTAGATGGTATGTTTTATAACTGTGCCTAATGTTCTTAAAAAAAAAACTTACGAGTTCAAACTTAAAAAACGTTTCTAGATTATTTCAATAATCCAAATAATTAAGATTAAAGGAGTTAACATCATCTAAATATATTAGTTCTATGATCTTGAAATATATTAGTTTAACTTATTATTAAGAAAAGAAATTTATTTTGTTGAATGGAGTATGAAATGAATATTTTAAAAAGTACAAAATATTGGGTTATTAGGATTTTATTATTTATTAACTTGAAAAGTTATGATTGTTGTTCCAGTAAAGTTCTTCCAATTCTATTCTCATTAATGTAGAATTAAAAAAGTGTAAAACACATATATAAAAATATATCTATGTTTGAATAAAATGTTTAAAAGTAGGTTTAGCGCATTTACTGCACATCTTTAGTTAGTTTTGTCTTTTACAGTAAAATATTCATAAAATTCGAGTAATAATTTCATTTTAATAATGAATAATGAATTGAGTTTAATTATTAATTATTTGCTTTATAAGTAATTAGATATAAAAAATAAATATACATATATATATATATATATATATATATATATATATATGTATATATATATTATGTATATTTGTATAAGAACATGTTGATAAATGCAATATACTTCTTAAACAGGCATCCATCCAGATAAAACAAATAGAAAGAAATCTAAATAATGCTTCTAAAACATTTTTCATTGAGTTCCATGTGTGTTCAGTCCAAATTATGATACTTCTTTAGTGGATAAAACGACAAAAAATGATATAAAAAATAATATAAAAAAATCTAAATAATTTTTGTGGTAAGTTGTCTTTATTTTATTCTTTTATTAATTATTTTGTTAGCTGTAGGCTGCAGTGTAGTTAGAGTGTTTTTTTAATATCTGTTTATAGAAAAAAAACTTCTTAAACAAGCATCCATTCAGATAATATAAAAATGAAAAAAAAAAATTAAATAATATTTCTAAAACTTATTTTTAATTAATTTCAATATATTTAATTAATTTGAATATTTATGATTATGAAATAATATAAAAATTCATGGTTCCATCATCTTCAGTTTAATTTCAAAAACAGCTACTAATATACTACACATTCTTTAATATTTTATTTAAATTACATTTAATTTTTGATATATAAAAAACACCAACTATCTCTTGCAATACTTGACTCAGTACTAAAACATGTGACACTTACAAAAATATTCTAAACCAATCTTAAATATCGAGGTGGAGAACAGGATGGGTATTATTATAATGTAATAATTTACATTATTCTAGATTTTTTACATTTACATTATAATAATACCCATCCTGTTCTCAATCTCGATACTTAAGATTTGCTTAGAATATTTCTATAAGTGTCACATGTTTTAGTACTGAGTAATAATTATGAAATTTAGAGTATGGACACCACTAGATGTAAGAAAAGCTTTAAGATTTTCGTTCCAAAGTAAATATTGCTTTAATTTTTTATATTTGTTACATTTCCATAACCCTAATAACCACGCGCATTGTGTCTCCGTATCCCTTGTTAGATTGTTTATTATAATTTATTAAGTATTCTAGATTTTATATAAATAGTAAAAAATATAAATAATATATTATGAAATTAATTTCCGACACTCGTTTTGGCGCCCCCTAAGGCGTGCGCCCGCATTTTTTGCATGCATCGTATGCAAGGACCGGCCCTGTATATATATATAACCATATATAATATATATATATAGGTATATATATAACCCTTTGACAAAACTCTACTGTGAATTTTAAAATAACGTATTTAAATTTGCTTTAAAATAAATAACGAACTATTTTTTCATGAGCACATATATATATACCTATTATTTATTCATCTAATACACCGATGTCTTACTCATCCGAAAAAAATGTACATTCTGCATTATAACGAACTTTTTTTACCTCGAACTATTTTACCCCGGAGGGATGGGTTTTCTTGCCCTTCGTTCACCCCGAGATTGAGGGTTTTTCCTCGTCACAAAAACGCTCGGGGAGGGCGGAGCAAAATATCTGAAGCACGCGTTCTTTTCGAGATAAGTGAAGTCGCTTTCAAGTCAGTCGACGCTTGACCGCGTTAGAGCATGCATCGACATAAAAGATAAATATAAAATTGATAAGATATAAAATATAAACTATTTTAAAAGTGTTTGTTTTAAATAGTATTTTATATAAAAACTGTGTTGAATACGAACTTTATCGTATAGAATTTTGTGCTTGTTATTGATTTCAAATAGCATAAAATTCTTCGTATAAAACTTGTTGCAATATCAAATTAGTTTGTGCATTTTGTTATTCTAATCAATTCATAAACTGATAAATATTAAAGCATATTTTTCACTGTGTTTAATTATTCAAATAGTTTTATTTTTGTGCTTAGATTATAATTTAAAAACTTCATTTTGTATCGTGGTTTACGAAATATATCCGGAAGTGTTGTTGTTCACTTTAATTGCAATGGCCGTTGTGATATGAACTGCAACACCAATTGAAATTATCGTCAATGTGTTAATTCCAGTTAATATTAGTTAATTTTTTATTGCTGTTTTATTTAATTTTTCTATTGCGACAAGTTGATATTCAATATTTTTTACAATCTCAATAACTATACCGTGCTATTTTAATTTTAAGTGCAGTTCAGATTCAACAAAATCTTAGGGCAATTTTAATTGCACAGATTTTGGAAAAACTATTAAAAAGTGTCAGTTACTAGTTAATTGTTCAAAGGCGAACTTAAAAGAATCGGAGGGAGTTTTAATGTTAGTGAAATTTGGGGAATAATCATTTTGATCTTCCAAAATAAGGTACATAAAGTTGTTCATGTAAAAGTATAAGTTCAAATGTAATTTTACTATTTATTTGCATGTTTTCTCTAGCATATGGGTGTGATATTATTATCATTTATTTATTTCAGCCTAATGGCCTAGAAATACATCATTATCTTAAGCCACAATAATACCTTAAACCTACTTTATGTTGATTAAACCTACTTTATATTGGGTGTGATATTTTTAGGTTTTGTCGTTACTCGTTACAACTGTGAATGTATATTATTTTTGTAATAAGAATGGATTGAACTAATGAAAATAAAGACAAGACATGTTATTTTCGATATGAACTATGAATCAATTAAAAATTAGGTTACCATTTTTTATTTAATTTAAATAAAGCGGGTTAAATTTAAATTTTTAAAAATCGCGCTCACCAAGCGCTAGCAACTTCACTACGGCTATCTAGTATAATTTGGTAATCACTTACGGTCTATTATTTAAATAATACGAATGCATGTTATTTAAATAATATGAATTTATTGAAATAATGAAAGTACATTAATTTTCGATTTAATGGCGCGAATGCGCGGATGTTTGAAATTGGTAACGCTGTATTTATGTTATGAACTACGAAACTAATTAAAATTACGTCAAAGTGTTAATGAAGTTGCAGTTTTTTTATTTGAATTAACTTTTTATTAAAAAAATTGCAATTAATTCAAAATATATTTATAATTATACAGTGCTATTTTATATTTAATTGCAGTTATAAAATCTTAAACATTTCTAATTGTAAAATTATTGAAAAGTATTAGTTTCAAATATAATCTACAAAAAAAGAGTGCGCGTAAGGTTCACACGCGATTGAAGTAAAACTTATTTGCTGCTGTTCATAGTAGCAAATTTAAGTTAAGTAAAAATAAATACATCATGTAATGTAATTAAAGTCATACTTTTAATATGACATAATCGGTTTGTCATTGTAATTAGCATTTACGACTTTAGTCTTTATTAGAGAAATGAAGCAATTGCTGATTAATTAATTCTATAATATTCGTTCACACAGTAAATTATGTTAAACAACGCCTAAATAAATATTGTTTTCGCAACTTCACTCATCATGTAATTTGTGTTCGAAGAACTTCATGTAATTAAAATTTACATACATTAATCGACTGCTTGTATTTTTTTTACTTTTTCGCTGGCGATATAATCTCATTCTTCGAACAACTGTAATATCTGTCTTGCCTAAAAAATATTTCCATTTTAATATCTTCAAGAATTTATAGAAACTACGAATAATATAGAAATAATTTCTAATCAATAAACTTGCGTTTAGTACACCGCCCAAATGTTTAATTTGTTTTATTATTTTCAAGGCAGAGGATAAAATATTCTTCTTATTCAGGATTTTTTTCATTAAATCAAGATTTGTACTACGACGTAACCTTAAAATGTTCATTTATCTAGGCTGATTTCCTTGTCGATATCGGTACGCATACAACGTTGATGCCGGTAACAGATCTCTATTCACATACACGACGACTAATCACAATCGACTCGTATAGAAATAATGTAATCGAGAGCGAATGACGAACTGTTTGGGCGTAACGGACTTCCGTTGCATTTGTACGGATTCACACCCTAATCGCGCCTAAAAAAGTTTTACTTCAAAAAGTTGGAGTAATATTTTGATTATTCAAAATAAGGTTAATATTTAGTTATTTAAGTAAAACTGTAAGTTTCGGCATGATTTTATTATAGTGTTATAGATAATATTTTTGACTCTTGTGAGAGGACGTTGCAACCGCCAATGCTTATTATTTAAATGTATTGAAATAATGAAAGTACCTAATACTTTACAAATACAAACTATTTTTTGCCTATATATTCAAGTTTTTGTGGAACAATTTTAATTTTCGATTTAATGACGCGAATGTAAAAATTGGTCACACTATATTTGTCGAGGTGACGGCACAATAGAATGTAGGTCAGTTTTTCCAACACGCCGGAATAATGAAATGCCAAAAAAAAGTTTTTGAAATTAAAAAATATTGAATTGAATGAAAATGATTTGTATTTAGTTGTAGTAATACAAAATATATTTGTATTAACACTTTGCACTTTATTTATACTTTGATTTGTACATCACATTACACATTTTGATGATAGATTAACGTTTACATATTTGTTTTATTAGAATGCAAAATTTGTTGTCAATTATCTTTATACATATATGCATCAATATGTCTGTTATTTCTTAACTGTAATATTGTGTCGAAATGACAATCCGCCACAAGTCGTTTTACCGCGAATGTACTAACAGAGTTCTTTGCGGCGCAAAAAATCACCTAGTGCAAAAACGCTTTAATTATTATGAGAGAGACTCAGACAAAAACTTGCACTGTGGATAATTCGTAAATAAGAAATGTTATTCGCAACGCAACCGACCAAACGACTGAAAAAAACATAACTATAATAACTTTTACGTGGATTCATGTACCGATAAAAAATGGCCGTAATTACGATGAGCATTGGCGCGCTGGAGGAAATGAATTGGGGGGCGGATTAAATGACTAATGTAATGTATTGGTAAATATTTAAGAGACGTATTTTTGACTAGATATAAGTGGCTTTTCGAGGTTTTATATTCATTAAATATTTATAATTAAACAGCACCATTTATAATAAATCATTAAACTTATATTGAAGTAAAACACATTTACATAAGATAAAACAATAGACTGTTGATTATATTATGAAGTCACATACACCATGTTAAATAATACATAGATGGCACATAGAATATTTATTACATATAGGAACATATATGCATAAACATAGCAGAGCCATAATTTTTAGCATCTACTTTCAACATAATTAACAGTCATGTATTATATTTCATACATTTATTTTTATTTTAGTTCCACAATATATTAAAACAACCTGTATATATAATTTGGAGACAATCATAGAAATAAAAAAACAATAAATAATGAACAATTTATTTATAAATTTTAAATAATCACAGAACTGTATATAAATAAATAGTTCATTATTTATTGTTCTTTTATTTCGACGATTGGCTGCAAATTAACACTCAAGAATAATAATGTATATATTGATTTTTACACGATTATGAATTTATATATAAACTCGGTTTATTTGAAATTAGTAATACATTATAATAATGTATATATTGATTTACACACGATTTTAAATATGTTTTTGGGAGCACTGCGACAAAAAGTTAAATTTTGGCTCAAATACTTATTTTTCTATCTACTTTCAGATATTGTAGTTATGAAACTAGTAACTTTACTCGTTGAAGTAAAACTTATTTAGGCGCGACTAGGGTGTAAATCCGTACAAATGCAACGGAAATATCGTTACGTCCGGACTTTACGTCATTCGCTTTCGATGAAATCTATACGGGTCGATTGTGATTAGTTAACGGCATAAATAATTAAACATGTTAAAGTTACATCGTAGTACAAATCTTGATTTAATGAAAATGCCTGAATCAGAAGAATATTTCACCCTGTTCCTTGAAAATAATGAAACAAATTAAACATTTGTGCCGTGTACTATACGTAAGTTCTTTGATGGAAAATTACTTCTATATTATTCGTAGTTTCTATAAATCTTTGAAGTTATTAAAATGGAAAATATTTTTTAGGCAGGACAGATATTACTGCTGTTCAAAGAATTAGATTATATCGCCAGCGAAAAAGTAAAAAAAATACAAGCAGTCAATGAATGTTTGTTAATTTTAATTACATGAAGTTCTTCAAACACAATTACACGATGAGTGAAGTTGCAAAAACAATATTTGTTTAGGCGTTGTTTAACATAATCCACAGTGTGAACGAATATTATAGAATTCATTAATCAGCAATTACTTTATTTCTCTAATGAAAGTTCATTTCCAAATGCTAATTACAATGACAAACCGATCATGTCATTTTTGAAGTATGACTTTAATTACAATATTGTCTTTAAATATCATACATATTTTTAATGCTATTATAAATATATAATATTATAATATATCATTATATAAATATGTATGTATAATGGGTGTGCATCACAAGTGTTACCATATTACTAATAAACATTATTCAAAATTGTTATATGATGTATTTATTTTTAATTAAATGCCATCTTGTGCAGTAGCAAATAAGTTTTACTTCAATCGCGTGTGAACCTTACGCGCACTTTTTTTGAGATATTGGTACCTTTATTTTATTTATACTATACTACAAACTTTAACAGTTTAATTAATATTATATTTTCAAACTTTAGGTAAATAATCAAATTATATTTGATGTGCTGTTCCGTGATCGATATGGAGGAGGCGACTGAAGCGTCGTCCAGGACCACGACACCAGACATCGTTTCGCGTGAGGTCACGCCGTCAAATGCGGCGCACGGAACACTAGGACAACCAAACCCAGCTGCACCAGGAAAGATCACTAGCAGGAATGCAAATAGTACAAGTAAGTCGAATTTGATAAGTAGTTTAATGAAAAAAATCTGTTATGAAAAGGTGTTAAGAAAAAATGGTTATCTATAGCAAAAATATATAGATACACACATTGTATGAAGTGTGTGTGTTTTCAGAATTTTGTAATATGCCAAGAAAACACCGTGTGATGTTAGCGTCGGCAGCAACCTGAAATCCACAAGCGTGCCTTCAGTGCTGTGACACCAATATATAATCAATGTGGATTTCAGATTGCTACCGCCGCTCGGTGTTTACTGGGTGACTAGAGCGAACTATTTATTTAACTTAATTTCATAAAATTTTGGGACCGTGATTCTCTCATCAGTCTTATTATTGTAAAAATTATCTGAGAAAAACATTTTATCAAATTATTAATTAGTTTTTGGAAAATATGTTTTATTTTGGATGGCAATAATTTAATTTATCAACTGATTGTCATAAGGTTTGACGCCCCACTGAATATATGAAATTTTTGTATGACAATAAGTTGATAGATAAAATTGTTACCATCGAAAATTAAATACATTATCCAAAAAGTAATCTATATGAGGTTTAGTTTCTCAATTTTTTATATTGTAACCAATTTCTTCTTGCTACGACCAATATTACGGTTGGAACTTTTTACAAACATTCGTAATTTGAATTTCTTATATATCTTCAATAAAAAGTGATTACTCGGTCTTTTCGAACGAGAAAAACTGTTGCCAGAGCAAACGCTATTAAAATGCACAAATCGAAAAATTAAAAAAACTTAAAGTTAAGAAGTACAGGAAATTATTAAAGAAAATTTTGCACGCTCAAACATTCATATACATAAATTTATAGACACATATTGGTTGATAAATATGTTTATATTATGTGTCCCAATAATGTTTAAAGTGAAATGAATCAAATATTTTGTTGAGATGTTTTATTAACAGCTCAAATACTTTTTTTAAATTTTTTGCTTTTTCAAAATAATAAAAGTGATTTTTGTAATATTCATTGGCCTTTCTGAAATAGGCCAAAAAATCGGCCAATTTCAATTTAAATGCAGCTATGCATAAGCAGGTCTAGCCGTTTCAAAGATACGGGGCAAAAAGTGCCACAAACGGTAACTCAGTTTTTAAGAGAACGGAGTGTCCGATTTTAATAATTCAGAAAACATTTTAGTTGTATTCAAAAGATGAAGATTTGATAAAATTTTCAAGAAGGCAGGTCTAGCCTTCTAGGTTTCGGAGATCTAGTGATAAAAGTAAAAAAAATGCCATTTGTCGGTCAAAAATGATCATTAGACATCAAATTATCAGATATTTTATAGAGATTTTAACAATAAGTATAAATTTTGCTTACATTCCTATGGGTTCCGTACCAATGTTTATGCGTTAGACGCGTAAACGACGTAAAAGGCGTCGCGGCGCTTTCGCGCTTCAATATTTTGTCTCTATGTAAAGCAGTACGATTGCATTGAAAAAAAGTTCAAAATTTCCAAAATATTTCAAAATAAAGAAAACATTTTTTTCAAAGATGTTAATCTTTTAAAAAAAAATAGTTTTTGGTACGGGAAGTTCCAGAAATTTGCCTTAAGGCACGATGCTATGCACCCTACTAGTTATTTTTTTCGGTTCTAGAATGAAATCCAGAAATAAGTCAACTTTTCTTTACAAGTATATTAACATTACCTACATTCTCGGCTATAATTAATTGATTTTCATATATTTTTGAATAAGGTTTATGATTATTTAAGTAGTTTGTCTGTTAAGTTCGATTCCACAAAATGTTCCTCACATGCCATATAAAGTACCTTTTTCTTCTCCATCTAAAGACGGCGGTAAATTTTACTCTCGTGCGGTAAAAACTTTGAAATTTTTTACCGCAGCCGGAGAGCTGCGCAACGAGAATGATTTAAATACGGCGTATTGCAGACGGACGGTAAAAAACTTACGTATATACTTGTTTTTATATTGACGAGCTTTCCAGTTTCATCACACATGCGATTGTGTATGTGAGGCTGATTATATAAATACGAGATAGTAGGATAGAAAAAAAACTAGAGTTTTTTACATGATTTTTTTATTGATTAATGTTAATGTAATTTCGTAATCGAAGTCTGTGTTCAATCTCTTGATAGCAATGGTGGTAATAGTAATATAAATATCGAATTTCTTAATATTTTAAAATATGCACTGATCAATCTGTTGTTTAAAATACCAGATGATATAAATTCTTGTTTCATTTAAGCTCTTGCCCTAACACTAGATATACCACGCTAGTCAAAATGACTGGTTGGACACTTTTCTATTCAAAATCCCTATTATATCTAACGAAGTTATGAATTTTTAAGTTATAAGTATAGAAATAATCTTATGAATTCAATGTTACTTTATATATACTAGCTGACCCGGCAAACGTGTTGCTAAGTAAGGTATATTCTAAACAATTTCTAGAGTATCAAAAATATTAATACTTTAAGTGTATAAGGATGTATTGTTTGAATGCTATATACAGTGAGATATTATAAACCCCATTAGTTTGTCTTTATTTTGTCAATAAAATCAAACTGCAAGTTTTATACTGTTTCTATAGAGCATGGTATAATCCAATCCAAGTCTTTTTTGGTCTTTCGACTTATTGATTAAATTTCAAGTTTTTCAGATTGTATTTGGACTCTGGATTTTGTGTATAATTGTAAATAATACTACTGAACTTATAAAATTTTTCAAATTTCTGCGAGGAGAGAAAATGAATTAAGTATTGACCTGCTTTTCGAAAAGTTTCAAGTAACATTCGATGAATTAAACTAAATTTAATAAAAAGTAAATATGTAGAGCAGTGCGAGGCACATAGATTCAATTTGACTTTGAGCAAATATTATAAAATATTATATTATAAAATTGAAAGTGTAATCCATAATAAAAGTATTTTCTTCAGTTGGTAGTTTTTGGCATTAGTTAAAATTGTAATTATTTTGTATAATACCTTTAAAATTAAAATAAGACATTGAACTTGTTTGCCACCTGGCCGTTGCAAGTTACTCCGCCTATAGGGTAAAAAGGTCAAAATAATTTTTTTTTGAAAGACAGCAAAAAAGCACATTTCTACAATGATGAAGAAACTGGCAGTTTTACTGAACGCAGTTAGGTAATTGTTAATTTGAAATGTGTTATTTGTTATGATATAATTGGTTTGATTTTTATAATATAATTAATATTTGCTCAAAGTGAATTTGAATCTTTGTGCATCGCCCTGCTCTACATTATACTTCTTGTTAAATTTACTTTAATTCATCGAATGTTACTTGAAACTTTTCAAAAAGCAGGTCAAAGAAGAAATACTTAATTCATTGTCTATCTCTCCTCGCAGAAATTTGAAATTTTTTTATAAGTTCAGTAGTATTATTTGTAATTATACACAAAATCCAGAATCCAAAAAGAATCTGAAGAACTTGAAATGTATTCAATAAGTCGAAAGACCAAAAAAGACTTGGATTGGATTATACCATGATTTCTATAGAAAGTGTATAAAACTTCCAGTTTGATTGTATTGACAAAATATAAACAAACTAATGGGGTTTATTGTTTTTATAATACCTCATTGTATATCGCATTCAAACACAATCCTTATACACTTAAAGTATTATTATTTTTGATTCTCTAGAAATTGTTTAGAATATACCTTACTTAGCAAAACAGAGTTTGCCGGGTCAGCTAGTATACTTATATAGATGCAGTCATATTTTTTTTAGCAGCGAGTTTAATTAACAATAATAATATATATGTTTTTTGTGCATTCCAGACTGTTGGATGTTTTTATTCTTATATTACGGATATCTATATTTATATATTAGATATATATTCTCGAGAGTTAATTAGCAAAAAACATTTGGGAATACAAAAAAACGTATTTAAGTGTATATACAATTTACTGATATATACATATGCATTAATATTTAATTTTCTAATTGAAACCATCATTAAGTCTAGAAATTTTTTAGGGAACTCTTTATTGAAAAATGTGAAAATAAAACAACTTAAGAAATTTTGTTCGAAATTTTAGTAAAACCGGATAAGATACGTCTTTTAACAAACGCTTTAGAATTGTTGATAAATACAACCGCTTAGTTTAGAATTAATAACTATTTTTATTCATATTTTTAATAATTATTGTCTAATATCAAAATATTATAATTTAACACATACAATCTCTATTCAAAACGTCTTTTTATATTTTTTTTTATCTCTTTCAACCGCAAACAAATTTAATTCAAAGGATTATTTGCTTGAACTCATAAAGAGATCCATTTATCAAAAGGATTTTAATCTTTTTTCTTTGATCTTCATTTTGGAATTATAAAAGTATTGCTTTTGTGCTTTATGAAGTAAAGAATAGCGGTAAGATTTTGATAAAAGTCAAAATATAAAACATTATTTATGAATATTTAATTCAAATGAAGGCAAGGGTGAAAACATCTGCCAAGAAGGAATGATTATTTTATTGTTGGAGGTTTTTTGCTTTGAAGATAATAAATTTTAAAATTATTATGATATAAAAAACATATAAAAAACGTTATCGCGCAAATAAACGTTATCTTTTTCATAAAATATATATATAAATTTATTATGAAAATATTTGTAGTTTATATAAATTTACTTACATGCTTTGCTACAAAGGTTCAATTATTTCTAACAAATCTACGTTGTATTTCCATTACCCTAAGAATCATTTTTCAAAACACACCCCTTGTTCGCAGGGTCTAAATTTGTCGATGGCGATTGGTGAAAAAGACCCTAAGCATTTTTTTTAAATTCAAATTTTATTTTTTGATCGAGTAGTATTGTACTTAAATTGCAATGTGCTGTATTTAGTTCCTGCTCATTGTATTCATACAAAGTACTGCCCTAAAGAACTACCCCTATAGGTAACCCTAGGGAAGTAAAGGACACACAAATATATATATATATATATATATATATATATATATATATATATATATATATATATATATATATATAA